CGCCCCCCCCCCCCGCCCCACCTCACACCCTGGGCTTCTTGTCCTCCCTTACCTGAGCAGCGCCACCTAAAACACAGCTCACCAGGATCCACAGCGAGAACCGAAGGTTCTGGGCGCCGCGGGGTCTGCGGGAGCAGAGGTGGGGGTCAACTGGATGGGCGCGCGTGGCCATCGCAGGCTTGGCGGGCTGTGTGGTCTTTGACGGTAGCTGGACTTCTCTGTGCACCTGGGTCTCTGTAAAGAAATGCGGTGATTATGCCCCTCCCCCCACCATCAGGAAAGGTTAGGGGAACTTTATCCTGTTATAACACTCACAGGAGACGCTTAGTCAATGCTAGATGATTGAAGGAATCATCCAAGTACAGGGTGCGTAGCGGGCTGCCAGGGTCCAGCCCTTTCATGCACCTTTCCAGCTTCTCCGCTTCCCCCAAGCCTCAGTTTCTCCATCTGTGCAGTGGGAGCCAGCTGGGCTCAGTCGGTGAGTCTGAGACCCTGAAGAGGGGGCAGCCAGTGGGGTGTCGGAGTCAGGAACTGGGGAGTTGGGAAAGACAACACCCCAGTTTGTACTCCAGCCTCTGAGGACCCCTCACCCCCCAGACACCCCAGTGTAGGGAGCTGACCTGGCTTCCTTCCAGTGCGGGCCCCATGGTTTGATCTCCTGGGAGGGGAGGACTTCAGAGGAAAATGACAGGGTGAGGCTGACGTCAGGGCCTCAGTTTCCCTGTGTGCAGAGACCGGATGAAGGCATTTGCCTCCCACACGCTCCTCGTGATCCCCGCCTGGCTGAACGAGCCTAGAGGGAAGAACACCAAAGCCGTCTGGGGACCTTGAAGGGCAGAAGAGCTCAAAGCTCTACAGCTGGCGGCGGGGCTGGGGTGGGGGGTGGGGGGTGTTTCCCAGTACCGGAAGAAAAGAGGAAGGCTTGGGGTCCACTTGGACCCTCTCCTCCTCTGGAACCTCGGTTTCCCCGTTTATGAGCATGTCTGACGCTGTCATTTGACCCTTTAGGGCGCCCTGGGGACCATGGGCTGATTCAAACAAAGCCGCCCTGACCCTTTCCTGGGCATTCTCACACCTCCTTGCCCTATTGGGGGCCCTCCTCCCCGCGCCTTTCAAGGCCCTCAGCATGAGCGTGTTGGTTTCCTCTCTGGACAAGCCAGTCCTCTGAGCCTCAGTTTCCTCCCGAGGAACTGCGACCTTGAAGATCAGCTCCATCCTGGGGTAGCCCCAAGGAGGGAAAGAAAGGAGCTGGTTGCGTTGTCGCAACACCAGCTGGATTAGTGGCGGGATAAGAAGAGGGACTTACCCGCTGTGCAGAGCCCAAGGCAAGGCGCTCTGGACCCTCACGAGCGGAAGTGGTGGGGCCGGAGGTGCGGGTCTGGGAACTCGGTCTGTCCCTCCCTCCAGGGCGCACCCAGCCCGGGGTCACCAAGGGCGTAGACCCGGGGCGCCCTCGCGCGGACGCAGAGCGCGCAGGAGTTGAGCGCGGAGCTGCGGCAGGGGACTAGCCACAGAGCCGCGGTTCTGTCCCGGGTGTCCCGGTGTCCGCGGGGCCTCGACCTTGGGCGGTGCAACTGGGGGAGGCTCCAAGCTGCTATTCTGGGCGAGGCGCTCAGGGCCCGGGAATGCGCAGAGCCCGGGCTCGGGGGCGCCGGGAGTGAGTGGACCCCTGAATCCCGAGAACCCTCCCCGTCTCATCACCTCGAGCCCAGGCTCCCCAATCCAGTCCCCGTCACCCCCAACCAGGCTCCTCAGCCTGGGCTCCCCACTGGGCCCCATCACTCGTGTGTGGCGCAGCTGGGCGGGGGACCCTCCCTGCCGCATTCCGGGGCGCTGCCGTCACTGACGCCCCACCCGGTACCGCCCTGCTTGCAGCTCCTCGCCCGCCCAGTCTCTGCTCCCGGCCTCAGTTTCCCCATCCTTGGAGCCTCGCAGACACCCCAAGGCTCCCCCAGCGGTCCCGGTCCGTAGGTAGATGCATCCCTGCATGGCTTAGTGCCTGCTGTATGCCCGCCCTGCAAAGTAGGTTGCCTGTTGTATTTTGCTCAGTGCCTGCTGTATGCACCTGCTACAGAGCAGTCTCTTGGACAGTTTCCTGGCTAGGGCCCATCCGGGAGTGGCCACCTGGATCATCTCAGAGAACAGCCACTCAGTGCCATTCTGAGCGCCACTGTGTGCACACAGCTGTGGGCAACCTAAGCCAATCAGCAGGGAGAGGAGGCTGCAGCAGTCCCTAGGATATCCCACTCCATCTTCTGATGCCCAGTCTCACTGGAGAAGAGACTTCAGGCCCGGCCAGAGTAGGGGGTGTCAGGAGGGCCCCCACTGAACAGGTGACCCCCACAGAGGCCAGAGGGAAGTGTTGCCTGGACCAGAGTCAGCATGGGAATAACGTGACTGTCTCCCTGCAGGAGGGAGTGGCCTGGGTGAAGCAGGATGAGGCCAGGATGGAGGAGGGAGATGCAGAGAGAGTATACAGCAATCACCCTGCAAGGAAGGTTTACAGTAGATTTCTGAGGTATAGTGCATACAACAGGCACAATATTCCAATTGAGACATGTATATAGGAGGCATTATACTCTGTAGGGTGTGCATACAGCAGGCCCCATGTCCTGCAGGGAAGGTGTATGGTACTGTGCTCTGAGGATGCACAGTGCATGCAGGGCACAACAGGTCCTGGGGAATCAGGCTCTGGGGTTTAGTTACCAGCACATATGGTGGTTCACAACCCTAGATAACTCCAGTTCCAGGGGATCGAAGGCCCTCTTCTGGCCTCCACAGGCATTGCACACATGGATGCACTTATTTGCAGGCAAAACACTCATGCACATAAAATAAAAATAAACTGGTCATGATGGCACATACTTTTAATCCCAGCACTCAGGAGGCAGGAGCAGCAGGCTCTCTGTGAGATTGAGGCTAGCCTGGTCTACATAGTGATTTTCAGGCCAGCTGGGGCTCTAGGGAGACACTGTTTCAAAAGAAACAAAAAATATGAAACATAAAAATAAATCTTTATCAGCTGGCGTGGTGGCACATGCCTGTAGCCCCAGCACTTGGGAGGCAGAGGCAGGGGGATCTTTGTGAGTTTGAGGCCAGCCTGGGGTATATAGTGAGGTCCAAGGCAGGCGGGGCTACAGGGGAACACTGTCTCCAAAAAAAC